ATAGCAGAAAACATCAACATTTTTCCCTTTTTAAACTCTCTTCTGGCTACACGACTGAACCATGGCACACATAGGGAATGACAGGGATTCTGCAACAAGCACTACCCTGAGAACCCCAGACCCCTCCAGCACACTGCTGAGGCTGAAATTCCATGCTGGCAGTGTGCTGGGGCATCCCAGCCCACCTGCATGTGGAGACCGGGAGCAGGGCCTGGGGCACTGCCATAATCCTGGCTCTCAGGAATGAGCAGGTTTATTCAGGGTGGCAATTCCTTGGGTACTTGCTCAAAGAATAATCTGCTAGAGCAAAGGCAGCAGGATTTGGGACAGGGTGATTCCTTCTCCAGCACAGCACAGCACTGCTCAGCTTTGTGGCCTCTTTTTAGTTTACCAAGGAAGAAAGATATCAGGGTTGATTCTTGATCCTCATAGTACCATTTGTATTTCATAACTTCTGTTTTCCCCTCTGCATCAGTTACCAGAGGCAGAGGATGCACGTGGAGTTCTGACCATTGCCTGAGCTGCACCACACCTTCATCCCCTTTGACTTTGCCTTGAACCCTTTGGGACAAAACCAGATGGTGCAAACAGCATTCACCTCCTTTAAAAGCTAGAGAAACTGAGGCACGGAACTGCAGTAACATCTGGCCACCTGTGCAGGGAGGGAGCCAAAATGCTTCACAGCATCCATCTCCCAACACACAGGTGAGTCAGTCCAGCAGCATCCAGCACCCATTTACCACCCCCATCTCCTCACGTGCTCCTGCATCCCTTCTCAGCAGCCCCAGCACAGCAGGCAGCAAACCCTCCTGCAGAGACCCCGTCTGACAGATTTCCTTCCACATCTTCAGCTCTGTGTGAACAAGCTCTGACGGGGTCACCATGCCCAACAGACACATTCCTGTTGTTTGTTTGTTTATTCCAATTCTAGTGGAAGCTCTAACACAGGGAAACCGCTGGGGTGATGCTAATGATGATCACGTGTGGGAAGGCCCCAGCAAGGGGTCATGGATTGTCCCTTGGGACCAGCCCAGCTAAATCAACCCCTGCCCTCCCCACGCCAGCCTGGGTGACATCCAGGAGCTTTGACACGCCGCTGCCGGATCTGCTGCACGAGTTCTGGGAAAACAGCAGAGTAAATGAAGGAAATTAGCAGCTTTTACGCAGCTGATGGGTTGCCTTGAGTTGTGCATCATGGCTGACCTTGAAAGTGTGAATACAGGCAAAGGCTTAATGGCTCTGCAGCTGCAAAAATCAGGAGTGCCTTGAAAGCCGGTACATGTTTACCACCACCAAGGCTGAAGTAATCAAAGAGTGAAATGATTAAAAACAACAACAAACCCCCTCATGCCCTGAATGTTTTTGCCACTTTATCTTTTTCTTTTTGTTTTGTTTTTGCATAAGGTCAACCTTTCAAAGGTTAATACAATCTTGGTAAATATAAATAGGCTTCACAGTTTATCTTGGTACATGTACTGCTGTTACTTAGAAACCGTTTGCAGAGAGGTTAATTCGGGCCACATGTCTCCAAAGCACACGCTGTGCTCCCTGGGCAAATCAACGAGCTGAGCACAACCGCAGGCAGGGAAGGTGAGGGCTGTGTGCTGGGAGCTGGGCATGGAAATAACCACTGGGGAGAGGCACATGGGAAAGGTTGTTCGTGCAAGGTGCCAACCCTCCTCCACCCTCCTTCTCCCCAGCCTGGGTCCTGGGGTTTGCTGAGGCACAAGAAAAATGTCACGGATGGAGACCTGAACCACACAGGGGTGAAGAAATCAGGCAGAGCTCCCAAGGCAGGAGGAATGGAGGCTCCTTAGATAAAGCAACAGTGACTCTTGTGGGCAGTTTCAAGTATTGCTGGGCTGGCACGTCACACCACTCCTGGTGGGGAGGATGTACAAGCTCCCTGTCCTGTCCTTGGCAGTGTCCCTAAGGAAGGGCAGGCTGGGACAGACCCAGAAAGACACAGAGCCTGCCCAGCTTCTGGTGTTTGGGGGCTGCCAGATGGCACATCCCCATCCTTGTGGTCAACGAATCATCTAATCACTGCTGGGGCCCATCCACATTGCTGCCCTCCCTGTGGCTGTGGGCTCCACAGCTCTCTGTGTATCCATGGGGAAGGACCTTTATTCTGGTGGACCCTCAGCATCACACAGTGTCCCCCAGTGCCAGCTGTCATTTCCCACCTGCCTGCTTCAAAGCAGCCCCAGTCTGATGCTTCCCTGTGAAGGCAGCTCTTCTCCAGGGTAAGGACACCACATCCAGTTGCTTTCTCTGTGCCAAAAGCTATTCCAGCCCTCTGGGTCATCGCAGGAGCATTTTCTGCACCTTCTCTACTCCTCTGCAGGGAGTGGGTAGACAAACCAGTGTGGGTCCTGCACCACAAACTTCTCCAGAGAGACACTGACTGTGAGAGGCATGGAGGTGCCTCCAGACAGCCCAGGAAGCAGGATTCAAATGACTGGTGAGCCCCACACCAGAGCACTGTTCTTGGAGCCAGAACTGCTGAGTGAAACCCATCTCCCATCCCAAGCAAAGCCCTGTGGGAGCAGCTGCTTCCACCTTCACTGGCTTGGCCCAAGGTTGTTTTTGTTTTATGGCTTTCACAATGGAGCCAGTCAAGGAGAGAACCTGTAACTCTTGACTTCTGAGTTACTTGGCTCATATCCACATGAATGCCTTGGCTACAATCCTTCCGGAGGCTGCGATATGAAAAGGATGTGCATGCACACATGCGTGTCAGTGCTGGTGTGTTCCCACGTGTGGCCACTGCCAAAACCCTGGGATAAGGCTCCAGAGGATACAAAGAGCCGATGCACTGCGGCACACCTGGCCCAGCCTGTGGAGACCTTCAGTCGGTGCAAGACGAGATGAAAGGAAGTTTGTTATTTAAGCAAAACTAATCAGGGGTATTTAATTACACAGGAACGTCTTTCATCAAACAGCCAGAGCAAACAAAGTAGGGACCAAGCTGCAAAGAGCCATGGGAAGGAGGCAGCAAGCAGCTGGCAAAGCCATTGTCCAGCCAGATGGATCATGCAGGCAAGGGTAGGAAACGGTCGAGGCTCCTGGCAACGCCAGCCAAACAACACACAGGGAGATAGCAGATCTGCAAACCAGGAGACCTGAGCAGCACAGCAAGAATGCTGAGGTGAAACCATCCAAGAGGCAATGGAGAGCATTCCAAAAGGGTTCTGTCCTCCCCCCTGGTGCCTCCGCTCCTGCGCATCGCTGGCGCCAGGATCCCAAGCTGCAGCTCAGGGCAGCCACTGACTCCCTCCAGCTGCAGGACGCCCTGCAGCGAGGGCAGGGAGCAGGTCACCCTGTTCACGGGTCACTGCTCTCATTCCCTTGCCCGATCCGAAATGGCTGGAGCACACAGCTCCAGCTGGTAACACACTGTAACCCACTAACCCCAAGGCAGGGCACGCTCCTGGAAAAACAGCTGTTTGGAGCAGGTCCTTGCAATATTCAGCAATGCTTTCTGGGAAAGAAAAGCTAAGCAGATCTTTAGTTCATTTACCCTAGAGTCCTTGAGCAGTGGGACGGACTAAAGCCCCTGCACTGTTAGTGGCTCTGAGAGCAGAGTGGCAGAGGTTCATAACTCTGGGCTGTTTGTGCCCAGAGACAATGCTCAGTGCAGCTATCCCGGGGTGTTCCAACCTCTCAAATCACATCCTCTGCAGCTCCAAACTGCACTCAGTGTTGGAGCTGCAAACTCATCACTATAATTCATGAAACAGTTTGCACCATTAATTCACCTGGAGGTTCACACACTGAGGCCAGTGAGATGCCCCAAGGAGGAGATACCTTGGCAAACACAGGTTATCAGAGCCTTCCCCAGCCAGAGATCCCCAGCACAGCCTGCCCTGTCCCCACGGTGCCATCTCCTTGCGAAGATGCCCCCACTGAGATGATCAAGTGACCTCTTGGGCAGCAGCTATGTCCACAACCACAGTTCCTAACACCAGATGGGAAATTCCTGCCTATCCCCTTTAGCACCTACAAGCTCAGGACCAAAAATAAGACAAATACAAGTACAGAAGCACTTCTGGCTATTGGTCAGGCACTTGTCCTACATCACTGCCTTCCCCTGAAGCCCAAGCTGACATTGCAAGCCCAAGTGTTGTAAGATAGTCCCCCCCAACCAGTACTGGCTTTTCACTGGCAAAAGTTGCAGTGTGTGTCTCCATCATTTAGTAATTCATCACCAGGTAATGCTGCTGCCCTGGTGCATGCCAATAAAGAATAAAAGAGATGAGAAACCTTGAATGGGATGAGCAGGGAGCTGCTAGGTGAATTTCTAATGAGGAAAATGTCTACAAGCACTAATAAAAAGACCTGAAAGAGAATGCATTAGTAATGACAGGGTTTGAAAGAACATTTGTGTTACATGTCAGGCTTTGACTATGAATTTAGAGGCAATCCATTGCTACTAAATCCCCTAAACAGCAAGTAATGAAAAGATGACTTAAATTTCCCAACGTGACAAGTGATTTGGAAAGCTGCAGTTGTGAGATTTTCGGAAGAAAGCTGTTCTGCTATTTTGCAGGGGCATTTTGAAAACAAAGAGATATTCAGAAGCCCCCAAACCTCTCTGAAAATCCTGACTTCAGATTTTGATTCTGCAGAAGCAAAGCTCCCCCCCTCCCCAAGAAGCTCTCAGCTGCAGACAGCAACCCAGATGTGCAAATATTAACAGTGCACACAGCTCTGCTGCTGCTGGATCTGGACACGTGAGAATACCAGAATCACACCAAGCTCTCAATCTGTTTTAACTGTACACTCAGACCCTGGTTCTCCAAGACCTCTCCAAGCATCTCAAGGGGATGCAGCCTGGTTTCACCCTGACATTCCTGAATTTCAGTGTAACAGCAATGAGAAGCTCTCGAGGGGAAAGTTTAAAGCAAACCCTGTCAATAGCACCTTGCATCCACTTACCCTGGGCTCTTCACTTCTCCTTTTGTGTGCTTTTACAAGGCTCAGAGAAGCTCACATTTTGCTTTCAAATACAAATCCCACAGAATATGATTGCAAGACGACTGCTTCGGGAAAGAGGGGAGGGGAGGAGAGTCCTACCAGGCTGTTTTTCATGGCTGACCGAGCAGGAATCTCCCGCCGCAGAGACGAAGGCCCCCTTGGAGAATCTCTCTCCAGACAGACAGCAGGTAATTGATCCTGCTCATGTGAACAACATCTTGTCATTTTTCAAACACTCGGAGGAAAGGAGGTTAATATCTTTGGAGCCAGGAGCCTGGGGAATACGCAAAGTCACTAGCGTGGCGGGGTGGGAAGGGCAGCTCTCATCCTTGTACATCCAGCTGGCAAAGCACTGAAATAAGAGACCTCGACCAGATGCACTGGTGCTTCACTGGTGCATCAGTGTCTTCTGCATTTGTTGTATTTCATCAAAACATAAAGAAAGGGTCTTTGTAACCTCCTCAGCTGACGCAGAATCACTCAAGTGGTCTCCAGTTGTGTTCAGGGCTGTGATCCATCTTGAAGGAACTTGTCAGTCTGTTGCAAAGCCAAAAAACTGTCCCCTTGAAAACCAGCAAGGCCCAAACCAGCTGTAGGGACAAAGCTCACCCCATCCCTATGAAACGAGGGCACTAAATGCTGTCTTGCTCTCTTCTTTCCTTGATGAGAGAGTGGCAGAGCCCTTCCCTCCAACCAAGCAGGTGTTTCAAACAGAAAGGACACAGTCCCATCAAAGGTAGGTCAAGTCTTTGGAACAAACCACTCAAGGGTGCCCTGGATCTCACAGCAGATGTAGCATACAAAATTAACCATGTTTGCTCGAAGCCTGCACTCACAGGTGAACCGAAGGGACCGCGCAGACGGGTAACAGAGCACAGCCAGGCAGCTAAATAGGACTTAAAAGCTTTTGAAGCTGCAAACACTGGAATGAACTGGGGCATGAAATTAATTTTAACTGTACTGAATAGGAGACAGGCCATAAAACTCCCTGAAAATAAGAGACCGGTAACATTTTAGTAAGAGTAGAAATTCTCCCAATAACTCCCCAGTCAGCTCTATTAGCATATGTGACTCATCCCAACTGAAAAGCAAAGCAAACAAGAAGGGAGAATTAAACAAGTGTCGCAAGGCAGAGAGTATGGCTGTGGAGAAATCGAGGAATCCTGGCTTTGTGATATTCAAATGCCTTCCCACTGACTATTGCAAACATTCAGCTGAGAAAAAAAAATCCACACTAGGAAACATTTAAAAAAAAAAAAAAAAAAAGCAGCAGCTATGAAAGGCATTTGTGATAGTAACAGCCTGGCCATCTTGTGCCCAGGTATGAGGCTCCAAACCAGCTTCATGTGGGAGCAGATCCCATTTGGCACAACACAGCCAGTATGCAACAAGGGTTTGTGGACAGAATCACAACCCAGATGATTCTCCAGCAACCTGCCAAAAGGTTTTTTCATCATGACTAAATCTGCATAGGGTGAAGCTGTTCAGAAGAATCTGCATCCAATTACACCTTGGCAAAACATAACCTGTGGTGTCCTGGCAGCTGTCCTGGTGCTCTAATGCATCTGGCCGTGTCTCCCAGCACCCTGAGGATTTACTCCACCTCCTATGGAAACAACCACCTCTAGGCTATGGAGCACAAGCTGCTCTTCTGGAGCAGAAAGGCATAAACATATTAAGAACAAAGAAAAAAGAAAAAGTATTTTCAAATGCAGCCCATGAAGAAGTTGTAGATAGGATGTGAACATCCAAGCATGACTTGGTCAAAACAGAGAAGTTTAGAATCTTTTCCCCTTAGTCAAAGGACTCTGAATCATTTGCTTGGAAGAATCATTGAAATCTTCATTTCCTATCTGCCTTTTACGCATCCAAATGTCCTTTAACATGCAGCAGGGACACAGAGATGGGAGAAAGGATGTACCAATTTCTCTGCACATCTATCAACAAGTGGCAAAGTGCAGACCAGACTCAGGACCTCCAAGACAGACCCATAGCCACAAGCAGCCAACATCTGGAGCCCAGATTGCTCAGGGGCCTTTTCACTGACCTAGATCCGTAACTGCGCTCGGCTGGCATCAATAACCAGCTGAAAGCAGCTAATTGCCAGGTTTCTGGAAGGAGGCGACGGAGGCTTTTCATTAGAACGTGTGGTTTCCTTCCCGTATTTTTGCAGCATTAATCACAGAGAACATTAACCCCAAGCCTGCCTGCTCCAACCTCTCCTTGGTCTGCCACCACCACTACAGCCGCACGGGGACTGCCACTGCCTGGAGTGGGGAGAACCCCACAGATGCCTAGAGAGGCAGGGAGGGGTGCAGTGCCTGCTCTGATGGCACGGGAAGCTGGTTTGATGGGGTTTCATATCTCACCATGGTTTCACTCCTGACCTGCGCAGTCAGGTCCCTCTTGTTTGCGCCCGTCTTTCAGGCAGCAACCTTGGACAGGAAATCATTTAAATCACAGGAAAATGTGATCACAAACCCACAGATATTGGCAGGGGAATGGAAAGAGGGTGAGGTATCTGGAGCTACTTTTAACTCGTTCTTTCAAGGACAAAACTAGCCATGAGATTGAAATTACCACCTTCAGTGCCTGGATTGGGATGGTCTTCCAAGACAAGAGAGGGTCCCCAAGAACTCCTGATTTCCACACACCATCAGTGCCTGGGGTGAGTTGCAACCAGAAGCACAGAGAGCACGTCCTTGGGCCAGCACCTGATACCACACGAAGTGGTTTATCAGCTGCCAGTGCCCTGAACTGGCAGGGCACCCCTGAGCCCTGTGGCACTGAGGGGCTGGGGGTGACACTGGGTTTGAATTTTACAGCGAGTGCATTGCTGGGATGACACAGGAAGCCTTGGGTGGAGCAGGAACCGAGTGGGGATGGGCAGCAAGCAACAGGCTCACGTCACCAAACCCTCCTCCCCACAGCCCATGGGGACAGAGAGCCCCTAAATGCCACCAGCTCCTACCACACTCCCCTAGAGCAGAGTCACAGGAACTCTTCCCCTATAATCCCCCAGGATCAATTAACATACCGCTGAAAAGCAAGCGATTATTAACTTTTGTTAATAGATTATTAAAGATGATTATCACCAGCTGACCGAGCCCGTACCAAAATAGACACGCTGCAGGCAGCTCGGAGCAATCATCAGTTCATTCAAGGCAGATAAAAAGTTTCAGATCTGGTTTGACTATTTGAATTTCCAACAATAATCACAATTATCGCTATTCTCATTATCTGTTATATTTCTTCTATGTTCAGGAAGTCACTGTGGTTATTAAATGCACGCTGATGATTAAATCTTGTATTGAGGTGATAAGTCAAATTAGATGATTGCTAAGTCTCAGTAAGTATCTTTGAAATAACCAGTTGTTATTAGACATTCAAGAGGTTCTTCATGAAAATCTAATTGTAATTGCAACTTTTCATTTTACCTCATCTTTCTTGCATGCAAACACACACACACACGCTGGCAGCTCATTTCATACTTCAGTAGGAGTGAAACATAGAAGAAAGCACTCAAGGTGAGTGTTCTCTGGGAAAACATCAAGGGACAAGCCGAGACCTGCATCCATCCCCCCCCAACCCTGAGAAAAATCAAACAGCACCTTCAGCATCTGCCTGAAGCTACAGCTCCTGACTGCTGAGCTCCTGGAGCTGGTCTGTGCTCCAGGCACCTGGAGCAGCTCTAATAGGATGCTCACAATTCCTCAGCAGCTTCCATCATGGTCTGGGAACGAGCTGGCATCCCTCCCCGCTCCAGCCTAATGCCCAAGCTGACATTTAAAATAGCTTTATTGCCACATACTTACATTTTAATGTTTTCATGGTACTGCCTGGTGTCTGAAGGCTGGTTGTATAATGGCTGAAATAAATAAGAAAAATGAAGGCATAAATGGTACGCTCTGACATTTAGAAACTTCAAACCCATCCCAAGTGCTGCTGCCTGGACGCAGGTTCCCAGCCCCAGTCCCCAGCCATACTGGAGGGTGCTGGTTGCTGCCTGAGTCCTGGTGCATCCCAGCTCAGCCCGTGGGAGGGCAGGCAGAGCTCGAGCGATTTGCGACGCCGTCCAGATAAACACGGCGAGGACGTGGCTGTTATTCAGCACCGACTGAAAAACGCAGTGCGCCGTGGAACATATGACACGGGGGAGGCGAGGGGAAAGGGGGGCTTGGGGAGAGGGAAGAGACAGTCTGTGTGCTGCAAGTTGTTATGTCTACACGGCAAAAGCCTTGCCTGAGCCCTCCCAGGGAGCCAAGCACAGGCGACTGCAGGCAGGACAAGTGTTTGTCCCTGGGGTTTCCAGCAGTGCTGGGGTGGGCTGGCCCCCCAGGCATGTCACCACAGTCCCCCAGCACCTGTGAGTAGAGTGATGCTCATCTGTCCCTCAGGAGGGGCAACTGGGCTCCAGCAGGTAAGTGTTTTCCCCAGGGTTGCCCTCTGGAGAGCACAGTGACCATAGCTGTCTCCAACAGCAGATGTGAGCACCCATCATGGGGCTGCTCTGTCCCCCTGCAACCTCAGCAGGGACATGCTGGGGATCCCCATGGGGAGTCAGGAGAGCTGGATCCATCCCTGGTAACCTTCAGCTGGCCACTGTCCCTCTACCTCTCCCTTCACACCCCCAGGGTGATGTACCTTGGGAACCTGCCACATACAGGGTCCCACCTCTGGAAGGGAGAGATGCCACAGAGACCATGCACAGTCCCACTTGAGATGAGGTTCAGGCTGTGCTCCAGGAGCTGCCACGAGTTGTGTTGACATCAGCAGGCTGACAGGGTGCTCAGGATTAAGCCCTTCAAGACATCTAAGCCGGTGTGAACATGTCCAGCACTGGGCTAACCAAAAGCTTGTCATGGTCCAACACCGACCAACAAGTGGGCACCTAACGAGCATAACTGAGGTCTGACCACAGAAACATAGCCTAAGTATTCAAACACTTCATGCACAAACCTTTCCCAAACCAGCTGTGACCATCTAACATCTGTGGCCAAACACAGGTATATGGACCTGTGGCATCCACATCCTGGTTGAAGGCAGCATCCCAACCATGGATATAGACACACTAGCTCACCCTCCTACTGTGCTCATAGGGCTGAGGCTACACTCTGGGTCTACTCGATTTCATCTCAAATTAAACACAAGAAAAAAGCAAAACATCTGCTGAACATTTGCTCAACCAAGTGAGCAGCACTGGAGGGGACAGGACCTGCCAACACAGGTGGGTTCCTTCCTCCTCCAGTTTGAAGATGGTGTTACTTTAACCTCCTCCGTGGTATCTCCCCATCACCATCACAGGTATTTGGCACAGCAGCTTGTTTTCCACACAGCCAGCCTGTCTCTGCTGCTCTGTGAAACACACACACTGCCTCCCCTCTCCCCTGCCACACACCACGACAGCCAGATCGATCCGCACAGAACGGAGAGTCGGTGCAGGTCTCCCTGCTCTCTGCAGCCCATCACTGCTGCCTCTTGGTACCAGCAAGCCATCAGCTTCTTTTCTGGCTGCCCTTGGACGTGTCCCTCCTCACTGTGAGAGAACACGTAATCCCCAGGCGGAAGGGGCGCGGGGAGGCACGTAATCCCCGGCAGACAGACACGGTGAGGTGAACCACCGCGTTCCAGGTGGGATGCAGGTCCGGCCTCTGTCACCTGGTGAGGGGATGACATGCTGCAAGTCTGCCAGGAGACACCTGGCCACCCCGTGCTGGGTGTGTCTGCCAGGGCAAGTGAGAGGGACAAGCAGGTGCCCCAGCAGGAGACACGTTCTCAGTGGTGCCCCTTCCCCAAGGGTGTTTCTATCATGAATCCTCTCGATCTGCTGGTCCGACTCCAGGCTCAGAGCTGGCTGTGCACTTCACGCTTGGAAAGCTCAGAGGAACACAGACATCCGTCTCATCACGTAGCTCCAGAGAAGCAGGTCTGCACCACAGAGAGGAGAAGTCGATCCACAGCTCCAGAGTATCACGTCCACAGTCACCCTGGAAAGGCTCAACGGGAGGAACTGTTGGGTGGCCTTGATTGACTCTTGAAAAAGGACTGCAGGAACTGGAAATACTGATAAATAAAAGTGTCTTTCTCTTCTCTCTTTGCAAAGGGGAAATCAAAGCAAAGAAGCTGGCATGTGGTGGGTCACAGACACCTCCCTCCTGGGAGAAGCAGTGGAGTTAACATTTTGGTTTGGACCTGGGTTAGAAGATGCTCATATGCATGTGGACATCATGGATGTCCTGACGCCACCCAGCTCACCAAAAGCTTATGATTCTTTTCCACTACAACCTATCTATGATATAAACAGCCACTTAAAATTCTTAGTTAGCAAAACTAAGTGTTAGCAGACAAGCAGTGGAACACATCACTTTAAAAGAAATGCTCAAACACTCAGAAATAAACTCTGGGACCCAAAACCAAGATCCACATGACACCAGCATCTCAAAGAGACTTCTGTCTGCACAACAGTCTCAGCACTGTAACTCAGTCCATGTGGTGGAGGAAGCTCAGGAGACAAGTTCTACCTACCCACAGAGAACTCACAGACTAAACAGTTAAAGAAACTTTATTCTCAACAGAGCAGGGACTGAGAAACAGCATCTTTCCTCAGAGCCATCAGTAACCTGCACAGAATTCCACCTTTCTCAGTGAGCAAGCAGAAGTAAAGCTGGCAGGTCAGATGGGTAAGGTGACATGTTCAAAACATCCAGAGCGTTTCTCCAGGGTAAGGCACATGCAATGCATTTCTCTGGGGGATGACATTTAAGATAAACATAATTGCAATACAAAGCTGTTACTGGAAAAGCCCTGGATTTACTGAAACCTCTTTAGAAATAAACCAGAATGAAAGGTCTCAATTGCTTTCTGGCCATTGCAGGGTTCAGACTACACATCTCAAAGATATTTCTTCCTGGGGAAAACATGGGGTCATTTATAAAATGCCATCACTATGCGACCATATCGCTACATGGTATGAAATGATTAGAGTCCTGGTTTACTGACTCACCACCTCCTCCTGACCCAGAGGGCAGCACCAGCCTCCCAGAACCCTAACTGGATCTCTGCTTCACAGGAATCCCTGGGCCTCTAGCTCCATCCTGCCAGCGACCTGGTACCCTCCAGCCTCTCTCTGCCATGGCTGACTGATTTCCACCGAGACCTCTCACCTCACCCCACCAGTCCCAGCACACTGACCACTACCAAGCTGATGTTCATCTGGCACCATCACTGCTGCAAATGCACTAATCAGAGCTCTCTGAACAACCAGAGGGAGACAGCCAAGCAGAGCTGACAGCAACGCATGACCCTGCATTTCACACCTCTCTTTGCAGAGACTGGATTGGCACCAGGATGCTCAATCTCCCTGCAGGAGACTCCCAGGTCCTGGCTGGTGCACGCGGTGTGTGACACGGCGTGGAGCAGGCAGGCACATCGGGCAGAGCTGCTTTCCTTCCTCGAGCTGCTTCCTTTCTAACTCAGAAGAAGATCAGATTATTCATCCTGTCCCATGTGGGCTGTTGGCAGGTCCTGGGCACTGCTGTGCCCAACATGGCATGGGGGCTGGGCAGTGTCTCTCTCTGGGCAGACAGATGAGACAGTCTGCAGGATGCATGCAGAGCCCAGCTGGGGTTTTGCAGGGTTTTCTCAGAGAGGTTTCCCCTTTTCCCCTGCTCTTTGATGAGTAAGGCAGGGACACAGTGCTAAGGTTTGCATTGCCACAACTCCCTTGTGCAGTGCCAGCACCCAGGGAAAAAGTGATAACAAACTGAAAAAAGGAAAAAAAGGAGGAAAGAAAACAGAGAGGAGGAAGGAAAGGAAATGCAACATCTTATGAATGAGGAAGCACCAACCCCAGGCACTGCCAATCTTCAGAGCAGAAAGAGCAATGGGTTTGACCCTGGTGACTCAGAGGAAAAATAATGATTGTTACCTCCCCAACAAGGAAGTGGGCTTCAACATGTACAGCGAGCACTAATTCCCCTGTGACCTTACACACCAGGGAAGACAGTGATTAGCACCACCTCCACAAGTCCAAATGACAGCTCTCAAGGCCTGTAAGCTGCCTGCTCCCACCTCACATGGACAGTTCCCTTCACTGCACCCCACAGCTGGTGCAGATCAGGAGATGCTCTGTCAGACTGGGTCTGTCCCTCTCCAATCCTTCCAGCAGCATTGCTGCCAACACAACTTTTCCAGGCACCCTTCTCCAGGACTCAGCCCCTTGGGGGCTGCTTCCAGTGCCCCTCCAGCAATCAGTCCCTTGACTTCCAGCTGGACTTTGCTGGATGAGGGGGCAGCCCAAAACTGACAACTTATTCTAAGCTGTTTTCTCAGCTTGTCTGTGATTGAGGGAGACCAAAATAGGAAGTGTGTACGTCCTGATACCTGCAGGTTATTGCAGCTGCACTCACACAACACCCTCCAGCACCCTCCTCTGTTTGCAGCAGGTGGGCCAGAGGAGTCCCAGCACCCATCCCTCCACACAGCACCCCAAGGCTGGCTGCCCAGGCAGCCCCAGTGCTGTGGCTGCCCTCAGCAAACCCATATCCCGAGGGGCAGCAGACTGTCCCGGAGCCCCTTCCACACTCCAGCTGCACTGCTGTGCATGAGGAAGGAGCCAAAGGGTTAAGGCACTCTGAAGAGGGCTCTCTGTGTGTGTCTGCCTGTGTTTCAGTACTCATCTCAGTCACTTTGCTTCCTGCCTTGGTGCTGTGCCAGCGAGAGGACCAGGCCAGCAGCACACTTCCTTCTGACAGACAGACACACGCACAGGGCACCAGGGACCTCTCCAACCCCCCTGACTCCCGCCCCGCACAGCCAGAGGGAACACTCACCAGCTCCACCTGGGGACCCAGTCCTTCCAGGATCCGGTGGGCAGCCTCCGCCTTCTTCTGCAGGGAGCAAAAGGGAGAGGGAGAAGAAAAGTTATTTGTGCCATCGGGTGCAAGGCTCAGCCCTCTGCTGCAGCTCTCCCGTCCGCTGCGACCACTTCCCAAACCTCCACGGAGTCACCACAAATCCCATCCTTGACTGAAAGTGGGTGGAAAGGTTTAGCTCAGTCTCTGGACCTGCAGGAAAACCCAGCAGGCAAAGGGCTCCGACACTGGAGTTATCATGACTTTAATGCATCCCGTTGGGTGCCAGTCGGGATATCG